GTGGTCTTCCGGCGGCTCGTGATTGCAATCCTGGTATTCTTCTTGGTCTTGGCCTTACTGGCAGACGCCGCAGCGAACTTACCGGTGCCAGCGAAAACGGAAACGCCCGCCTTCTTCACCGCGCCCTTGCCCGCCTTCGCACTGCCAGCGCCGCCGCGGACCGGTTTGGCAACACGCACGATGCCCGAGTGGCCCTTGCGCGCATCGTGGCGCGAAACCGCACGCATGTTCTTCTGTGCGCGCGCCGAAATCCTCACGACGCGGCCGGCCGACGGCGCCGCTTTCGCGATCACCCGTCTGACCGGCACGTGCAGCACCAGCCGCTGGCCCGCCACGACGACATCGCGCCGCGTATGGTTCCACGCCTTGACCTGCGAGACCGTCACGCCATAGCGCTGCGCGAGCGCGGCGATGGACTGCCTGCGCCGCACACGGATCAGCATCTTGCGTGTATCCGGAACGTCGGGCTCCATCGCCAGCACCGCATTCTCCGCAACGCCCGCGCTGATGTCCTCGTCGTTGCCATCGTCCTTGGGTACCAGCAGCGTCGAGCCCGGCTTGAGCCGCATGCCGGCCGGGATCTTGTTGACCGCCATCAGCGTGCCCGAATCGACACCGATCTTCCGGGCCAGCACCGCCGGTGCCGCGCGCTCGGTCACCTTATAGGTGGTCCACGTCGACAGGTTGCCTTCATACGCCTTCAAATTGTGCTCGAACACGCCCGCATTTTCAAACGGCAGCAGAATCTGCGGTTGCGATGAGCCCAGGATCACGGGCTGCTTGAACCCCGGGTTCAGCGAACGAAACTCGTCCAGCGAAAGACCGGCGAGCTTGGCCGCCACTTTGACGTCGATGTCGTGCGCGGTCGTCACCGTAACGAAGTACGGGTGATTCGGAATATCCGGTAGCGTCAGCCCGTATTGCCGCGGATTCGTCACGATGCTCTTCACCGCCTGCAATTTGGGTACGTAGTTGCGCGTCTCGGACGGCATCGGAAGGCTCTGGTAGTCGGTCGGCAACCCGCGCGCCCGGTTGCGCGCGATGGCGCGCTGCACATTGCCCTCACCCCAGTTGTACGCAGCCAGCGCCAGATACCAGTCGCCGAACATGCCGTGCAGCTTCGTCAGGTAATCGAGCGCCGCGCTGGTCGACGCAACGACGTCACGCCGTTCGTCCTGGAACATGTTCTGTCTCAGGTTGAACGTGCGGCCGGTGCCAGGGACGAACTGCCACATGCCGGCGGCTTTTGCGACCGACAGCGCATGCGGGTTGAACGCGGATTCGATGAACGGCAGCAACGCGATCTCGGTCGGCATGTGCCGCTGCTCGAGTTCCTCGACGATGTGATACAAGTACTTCTTCGAGCGTTCGGTCATGCGCTTGACGTAGTCGGGACGCTGCGCGTACCAGTTCGTCTGCATGTCGACCAGGCCGCTTTGCAGGTCCGGGATCTGGAAGCCCGCGCGGATCCGGCTCCATAAGTCATCGACGCCCTGCAAGTCCTGCACGCTGCCATGGTCCACGTCGATCGTACGCTTGGACGAGGACAGCGCGGCATGCTTCTGGATAGGATCGCCTCCGACAAGCTGCGGGTTCTGCGAGGTGGAGCGCGCGGAGAAAGGCGGTTGAAAGGATTGCGCCGTATTCGTGCCGCTACTCGCACAGGCGGCAAGCAGCAGCGTGAACAGCGCGCTGAGTATCAATCGCATCGAACGTCTCGGATTCCAAAAGGGGCGCCAGAAAATTGGGTCCGATAGTACGCAGAACGCGTGCGCCGCGTCAACCTAAAAACTGTAAAAAAGCCTGCAAAATCCGGGCGTTGGGTCCCATTCTTCAAGTCCGATTCGAAATCCGCCACCGATGCGGCGGTCTCAACGCGCGGCGTCGCAGCCGGCAACGCCCGGGGCCGCCAACGTGTCTTGCATCAGCGAAAGACGTTCTTCCATTCGCGCAGCGCGGCGAATGTGCCGAGCCGATCGCTCGTCGGAACATGCCGCTTGTCGGCAAGCTGCTGCCGGATCGCCGGCAAATGCGAACGCAGGAATGGATTAACTCGCTTCTCATGACCCATCGTAGTCGGCAAAGTCGCCCACCCATCGGCACGCAAACGCTGAGCCCGGTCGCGCCATGCGAGCAAATCGGCGTTGTCGGGCTCGGCCGCAAGCGCAAACGCGATATTGGACAGCGTGTATTCGTGTGCACAATGCACTTCGGTGGCATCGGGCAACGCGGCGAGCGCGTCGAGTGAGGCCAGCATCTGCTGTGGCGTGCCCTCGAACAGACGTCCGCAGCCGCTGGCGAACAGTGTGTCGCCACACAACAGGTGTGGCGCCCCCTCATCGCCGACCTGCGCAAAATAGGCGATATGGCCGCGCGTGTGGCCCGGCACGTCAAGCACGGACAACTCCAACGGAAGCGCCTCGATGTGGATTCGATCGCCTCCGTTGAGCGGATGCGTGACCGCCTGTATCGCCTCGCTGCGCGGGCCGTACACCAGGATCGGACCGTGTGCGCCACAGGCCTCGATCAGCTCGACCACTCCGCCGACATGGTCGGCATGGTGGTGCGTGAGTAAAATAGCGGTCAGCCGCAAGCCTTGTCGCTGCAGGAAGTCGGCGACCGGCGCGGCATCGCCGGGATCGACCACTGCGGCGTCACCTCCGTTTGAGATGACCCAGATATAGTTGTCTTCGAGCGCTGAAACCGGGATGTATCGCAGCCGGCCTTTCGCGTCATCATCCGCTGATCTGGCTTCCAACGGTACGTTCATCGCGCAGGACCCATAGAAACAATGTCGAACAGACCGATTATAGATTGGCCAACTTGGACCGAATCACCGCCGGGGCAATACGTGCTCGCGTGGGAGCAAAGCCAGCTCGATCGCCTGGTCTGCGACATGTTCGGCTATCACGCACTGCAGCTGGGGCTGCCGCAGCTCGATGCGTTGCGTGAGAACCGAATGCCGTGTCGCGGCCTTGTGCTAGACGCGGCCAGCGGCGCGAGCGCGCCGTATCGGCTGCCCGGCTCGGGTACCGCGGGCGCGGCCGATGTCGGGCCGCACCACGCGCCGCCGCAACGTGAGACGGTCTGGTGCGATTTCCTGGACTTGCCATTCGAATCGCAGAGCGTGGACCTGCTGATCCTGCCGCACACGCTCGAATTCACACACGATCCGCATTTGCTGCTGCGCGAATCCGAGCGCGTTCTCGTACCAGAGGGCCGGCTGGTCATCGTCGGGTTCAACTCGCTGAGCCTGTGGGGCATGCGACAATCGATCAGCCGCCGCGGCGGCCATGCATTCGTGCCCGCCGCACATGACCTGATCGCGTTCACGCGGATGAAGGACTGGATCAAGCTGCTGGGCTTCGAACTCGACCGTGGCTGCTTCGGATGCTACCGACCACCGGTGAATACCGAAAAGTGGCTCGCGCGCTACGCGTTCATGGAAGCAGCCGGCGACCGCTGGTGGCCGATCTTCGGCGCCGCGTACATGATCACGGCGATCAAGCGCGTGCGCGGCATGCGGCTGATCGGCCCCGCCAAGGTCAAAAAACAGGCACTCGCGCCAACGCTGAACCCGGTCGCAACGCCAAACGCCCATTGACGGCGCGCCCCTGCCGGCGTCGCCCGCTCCCCCTACTGACTAACAACACATGGAATCGAATACCCTCATCGAGATTTATACCGACGGCGCATGCAAGGGCAACCCGGGTCCCGGCGGCTGGGGCGCGCTACTGCGCTTCGGCTCGCGGGAAAAAGAGCTATTCGGCGGTGAGCGCTCGACCACCAACAATCGAATGGAGCTGATGGCCGTGATCGCCGCGCTGGAAGCGTTGAAGCGACCGTGCAAGGCAGTGGTGCACACCGATTCACAATATGTGAAAAAAGGCATCAGCGAATGGATCCACAGCTGGAAGAAGAAGAACTGGATGACCGCTGCGAAAACGCCGGTCAAGAACACCGATCTATGGCAACGTCTCGATGCGCTGAGCGCGCTGCACGAAATCGAATGGCGCTGGGTCCGCGGCCATGCGGGACATCCGGAAAACGAGCGGGCCGACGCGCTGGCCAATCGCGGCGTCGCGTCACTCGAGCAAGCGTAAGCCGCGTGGTCACACGCCGCACGCTGAACTTTTGAACGGGCAATCCAACCATGCGACTTCTTGTTCTCGACACCGAAACCACCGGCCTGAATGCCAAAAGCGGAGACCGGATTATCGAAATCGGCTGCGTCGAAATCATCAACCGGCAGTTGACCGGCAACAATCTGCATTTCTACACCAATCCGGAGCGCGACAGTGACCCCGGCGCGCTGGCCGTGCACGGGCTGACCACCCAATTCCTGAGCGACAAGCCGAAGTTCGCGCAGATCGCCGATGCACTGCGCGACTTCATCAAGGACGCAGCCCTGATCATTCACAACGCGCCGTTCGACATCGGTTTTCTCGAGGCGGAGTTTACGATGCTGGGCCTGCCGCCGTTCTGCGATCACTGCGGTGAAGTGATCGATACGCTGGTCCAAGCCAAAGCGATGTTCCCCGGCAAGCGCAACTCGCTCGATGCGCTATGCGAGCGCTTTGGCATCAGCAACGCGCACCGCACGCTGCACGGCGCACTGCTCGACGCGGAACTGCTGGCCGACGTCTATCTGGCAATGACCCGCGGCCAGGAAAGCCTGATCATCGACATGCTGGCAGACGCGCCGGCCGCGGGCACCGCGGCGACTGCGCGCGTATCGCTCGCGCAGTTCGAACTGCCGATCGTCAGTGCGACCGACGACGAGCTTGCCGCACACGCGAGCGTGCTGGATGAGCTCGACACCACGCGGAAAGGCCCGTGCGTGTGGCGGGAGCAGCCTGCCGTCGACGAAGCAGGGCAACAGGTCGCCGAGTGACGCGCGGTTGGACACCGGTACCGGCGACCTCATAGCCGGCGCGATCGGCATAAGCGAAAAACGCTTTACGAAGCACCGGAAACTTGTCATAATTACTGGATTATCTGGGTGGTTAGCTCAGCGGTAGAGCACTGCCTTCACACGGCAGGGGTCACTGGTTCGATCCCAGTACTACCCACCAATGAAAAGCCAGTTCGATGAACTGGCTCTTTCTTTTCTGGAAACCCAGTACTGCCAAGGCTCTCGGAGGATGTCGGCCCAGTAGCGCCCCGCTGCCAGCACAGGTGTGCACGTCGCTCCGAAATCGCTGTCAACCATCACGAACCGTCCTGCTGGACAGTAAGATGGCAGCCATCGCAAAACGCACCAACGATATAGGTAAGCCGACATGGCAAGCCAAAGTTCGCAAGAGCGGCTTTCCCACCCAGTCGCGCAACTTCCCTACCCGGCGCGCTGCTGAAGAATGGGCGCGGTCTATCGAAGATGCAATGACGAAAGGCCCGTTCCACTCAACCAAGCTGGCCGCGTCCACGACCATGAAACAGTTGTTGGGGTAGTCTGTTAATTTGCAGTTGCCTTCCGGTCCAGCCTCAGGGGGTCACTCCAGGTTTCCGTGAAAATTAACAGCCTTATACCATCTCTCCTCTTCAAATCGACCTCCGTTATACCTTACGATAATGAATCGACGCGGGCGGTGAGGTGCGTACCTCCCGACGTCAACGATAGGCATACGAAGATGGAGCACTTGACCCATTCCCCCCGTGCGTGGCCAGTCAAAAATTCGGTCGGTACGCGCACCGCGAGTGTGAGCCAAGGACCCATGTATCAGCCGAGCGCATAGCCCACCACCCTGCAATTTCACGCATCGAGCGATGCCAACGCCTTGTCCAACGCACGGCTCGCGTTTCGATCCGCGTCGCTCTTGAGCACCACCCGCATCACCCGTTGCCGGTTGTGGCCGGCCGCCGCAGGGGAATTCCACAGCAGCTCGGCACGCGGCTGCGCCGCGCTGATCCATCGGCGCCATGCACGAATCGGCACATGCTCGTTGGCGAAACGGACCGACAGTTCCCGGCTGTCATACTGGCCGACTTTGCGACTCTCCACCCAGACGACGGTGGTACGCGTGACGCGGTCAACCGACACCGCATAGCGCCCCATCGCAAAGCGCCGGGCTGCGAAATTCGACCGCCACAGCGGCCGCGGCCGGCAAATCCATACCACAGCAGCGTACAGCCCCGGCGATACGGCAAGCCATCCGTTGCTGTCGACCACGGCACGCAACGCCGCCTTCGGCCCCGCTGAGGCGACGAACATTCCGATCGACCACGCGGCGAACAGGAAGCAGACGAGCGCGAAGCAGCGCAATGCCTGCCGCAGCCATTGGAGCAGCGGATGGAATGGGCGCTCGGCACGCGCCTGCGCGCCTGGCAGCGCAATCAGCAGAAACAGCAGGATGACGTTCAGGCATGCCCATGGCGACGACGCAACGCTAGTCAGCACGGAGACGAAACCCATCTGCAGCATCGACTGCAGCCAGCGTGCAAGCAACGCGAGGCCGATCGCGCGCAACGCGAAGATCGTCGCGGTGCCTGGCACAGTATGGCGGCTCGGTTGCATCGCCCTCGGCAAAATTATTCTCCTCGTTGTCGCACAGCCGCCCCGCAGGCCGCCGCAATCGCACCAGCGGCACATTATAAGGATTCGTACGGTGCAGTGCGGCAATTGCCGCCCAAACAAAACGCCCACGGGCGTCAAGCTCGTGGGCGTTGGAGCGATGCAGCACCGGCAGGCCTCAGGCCGGCACGACAAACTTCGCTCAGCCGGCGGCGACTTCGCGCAGCATGGTGCGACGGCTGCAGCGCAACAGCCCCTCGTATGCGTCGACGTAGCGCTGAGCCATCACCTTCGACGTAAACCGGGCCTCGAACGCGGCCCGCACGCCCGCACGCGGCAGCGTGCACAGCCGATTCACCGCGGCCACCGCGCTCAACTCGTCCTCGACGACGAAGCCCGACACGCCGTTCTCGATCACCTCCGGCACCGAGCCGCGCTTGAACGCGATGACCGGCGTACCGCACGCCATCGCCTCGATCATCACGAGGCCGAACGGCTCCGGCCAGTCGATCGGGAACAGCAACGCATGCGCTCCGGACAGGAACTCGGCCTTCTCAGCTTCGGAGATCTCGCCGATGTACTCGACGTGCGGCAGCGACATCAGCGGCTTGATCCGCTCCTCGTAATACGCACGGTCGGCCTTGTCGAGCTTCGCAGCGATCTTGATCTTCATTGCGCACTGTTGCGCGATCCGAATCGCGGTATCCACGCGCTTTTCCGGCGAGATGCGGCCGAGGAACGCCAAGTAGCCCGGCTCGATGTCGGTGCGCGGCGTCAGCAGGTCGGCGGGCAAGCCATGGTGCACGGTCGAGAGCCAATTGGCCTGCGGCAGCGGATTGCGCTGGTTACCGGAGATCGACACCACCGGCACGTCGTTGAACACGTTGAAGATCGGCTGCAGCTCCGGCAGGTCCAGGCGGCCATGCAACGTCGTCAGGTGCGGCATCGGCTGACGCGAAAACAGCGGAAATGGATAGTAATCGATATGAAAATGCAGTACGTCGAATTCCTCCGCCCGGCGGCGCACTTCTTCGAGCAGCAGCATATGCGGCGCCATCGTGTCTCGAATCGACGGATCCAAGCGCAATGCCTGCGGCCATACCGCCTCGAGCTTGGCCGACGTTTTCGAGTCACCGCTGGCAAACAGCGTCACCTCATGTCCAAGCTCAACCAGCGCTTCGGTGAGGTAGGACACGACGCGCTCGGTCCCACCGTACAGCTTCGGTGGAACTGCTTCGTACAGCGGCGCGATTTGAGCGATTCGCATGTCGGTAAACTCCCAGTGAAAAGTCAGGCGAAGTGACTGCCTCGGTTTAATACGGCTCGGGAAACCCCGGCTTGCCACCCGGGCCGTCCCCTGCGCCCGACTGTTCGGTAAACCTAAGGACTGACCCGGAGTCGATTATCGATGCCGCATGGCATCAATCCGGACCTGTCTTTCAAAGTCTTTACTTTGTTACATTATTGATACACTTGGCTAAGCCTTGTTTTAAAAGACTGTTTTAGATTTGTTCCCGGGGCCGGCAACGATCGTCGGGCGTCGCGCCGCGCTCATTTGGCGCGGCGCGGCGCGGCAAAGTGCATTCGCCCCATTGCAGGCCGGGTGCAATTGTATCTTAAGAAAACAGATACATACGGTACTGGAACGTAACTTGCAGGCCGGCACCCGATCGGGTACCGGCCTGCCGATTCGCACATCGCTCGATTGAACCGTTCCCGGCGCGTTTACAATTCCGTCTTTGGCAGCATGGCTGCTGCCAGGGTCACCACCGTTCGAGGCCACCGCACTCGCCATGGCAAACACCGATTCGACGCTTCACCTCGTCCAGACCGAGCGCCTGACGAGCGCCGAACGCAACGCGCGCAATACGCGGCTGGCGGGCTATGCGCATCGCCCGCTGGCCTTCCTGCTCCGCTATATCCGGCGCCATCCGGTCGCACACGCAACGGTGCTGGCGAGCGTGCTCGCAGCGGTCGGCTGCGCGCTTGCGTCGCAGTACGCGATCAAGCACCTGATCGACGTGCTCGGCCATGGCCGCAATCACCCGCTAGAGCTATGGGGCGCATTCGGGCTGCTGGTCGGCCTGATCGCGGCCGATAACCTGCTGTGGCGAGTGGGCGGCTGGGTCGCCGCGCACACGTTCGTGGTCGTCACAGGCGACCTGCGCAAGGATCTGTTCCGATACCTGAGCGGCCATTCGCCGACGTATTTCGCGGAAAAACAGCCCGGCATGCTGGCCAGCCGCATCACCGCAACGTCCAATGCGGTCTACACCGCCGAGAACATGATGGCGTGGAACGTGCTGCCGCCCTGCATCGCGGTGTGCGGCGCGATTGCGATGATCTTCGCAGTCAACCCGCTGATGGCCAGCACGTTGCTGATCGCCTCGGCAATCCTGGCGGTCGTGCTGTTCAGGCTCGCACGGCGCGGCGGCGCGCGTCACCAGATGTTCGCAACCCGCGCGGCCTCGGTGGACGGCGAGCTCGTTGATGTGATCGGCAACATGGCGCTCGTGCGCGCGTTCGGGATGACGCTGCGAGAGCAGCAGCGCTTTGGCATGACGGTGCGCGCCGAGATGACCGCCCGCCAGCAAAGCCTGCTGTATCTGGAAAAGCTGCGGCTGCTGCATGCGGTCATCACCGCACTGCTGTCGGCCGGCCTGCTCGGCTGGACGCTGTGGCTATGGACGCGCGGCCAGGCGAGCCCGGGCGACATCGTGCTGGTGAGCTCGCTGGGCTTCACGATCCTGCACGGTACGCGGGACTTGGCCGTTGCGCTCGTGGACGTCACGCAGCACGTGGCACGACTGGCCGAAGCAGTGCAAACACTGCTCGAGCCACATGGCATGCCCGACCACAATGATGCAACCGAGCTGAGCACAAACGGGGGACAGGTCAATTTTGAGCAGGTCACGTTCGCCTACCCACGACGCCAGCCGATTCTCGATCATTTCCAGTTGCATATTGAACCGGGGCAGCGGATCGGCCTGGTCGGCAAGTCAGGGTCGGGCAAGTCGACCGTGCTGGCGCTGCTGCAGCGCTTCTACGAGCCGCAAGGCGGCGCGATCCGGATCGACGGACAGGACATCTCGCGCATCACGCAAGAAAGCCTGCGAAACGCGATCGCGCTGGTGCCGCAGGACATTTCGCTGCTTCACCGGACTGTATTCGAGAACATCGCCTATGGCCAGCCCAACGCGTCGCGCGAGGAAGTCCTTGCAGCGGCGCGCGAAGCACGCTGCATGGAGTTCATCGAGGCGATGCCGGACGGCTTCGAGACAATCGTCGGCGACCGCGGCGTGAAGCTTTCCGGCGGGCAGCGCCAACGCATCGCAATCGCACGCGCGATCCTGAAGGACGCACCGATCCTGCTGCTGGATGAAGCGACGTCGGCGCTCGATAGCGCGTCCGAGGAGGCAATCCAGCAGGCGCTGGACCGGCTGATGCACGGCCGCACGGTAATTGCAATCGCACACCGTCTGTCGACGCTGCAGAACTTCGACAGGATCATCGTGATGAGCGCGGGCAAGGTCATCGACGACGGCACGCCGCAGGCGCTGAAAAACCGGCCGGGCCCGTATCGAGACCTGCTGACCCGGCAGCGAGTGGGACGCGCGGCGGCCCCCGACCACGAATCACGGTTCGTCGAGCACGCTTGATACGGCCCGATCAGGCCGGCGCCGACAACGGCATCGGTGTGCGCAAGTCACCCAGAAAGTGATCGCGCCACACCGATACATTGTTCTCGCGCAGTTGCGCCATCATGTCCATGTGCCGCTGCCGCCGCTCGGTCAGCGGCATGCTCAATGCACGATCCAATGCTTCGGCCATGCCGGCAAGATCGGCGGGATTGACGATCAGCGCGCCGTGCAACTCCTGCGCGGCGCCGGCAAAGCGCGACAGCACAAGCACGCCCGGATCGTCCGGATCTTGCGCGGACACGTATTCCTTGGCGACCAGGTTCATTCCGTCGCGCAGCGGCGTCACGTAGCCAACGTTGGATATCCGGAACAATGCCGCTAGCACCCGCCGCTCATATTGCCGGTGGAGGTAGCGGATCGGCGTCCAGTCCAGCTCGGCAAAGCGCCCGTTGATCCTGCCCGCTTCGGCCTCGAGTTGCAGGCGGATGCCTTGATACGCATGCATGTCCGCGCGGGTCGGGGGCGCAATCTGCATAAACGAGACCTTGTTGCGATGCGCAGGCGCGGTCTCGAGCAGCTTCTCGAACGCGCGGAACCGCTCGACCAGCCCTTTCGAGTAGTCGAGCCGATCCACGGCCATGATCAGTTGCCGCTCGCGCAGCGTCGCCTTCAGGTTGCGCACATAACTGGCGCTTTCACCTGCCTCGGCCAACTCGGCAATCTCATCCGGATACACACCGATCGGGTAGGCACCGGCGCGCAGCGTACGGCCGTACGCGTGCACGGTGCGTACCCTGGCGCAGCCGTTCCGTTCGACGTGTCCGTGCGCTTCGTGCTCGATGTAGTCAACGAAGGCACGCAAGTCGCCGTCGGTCTGGAAGCCGACCAGATCGAAGCAGCATAGCGCCCGCATTAGCGCTTCATGCGGCGGCACCGTCAACAGCAACTGCGCGGGCGGCAACGGAATATGAAGGAAAAAGCCGATGCGGTTGGTCACCCGCTGCGCGCGCAGTGCCTCAGCGAACGGAATCAGGTGATAATCGTGGACCCAGATTACGTCGTGCGGCCGGATCAGTGGCAACAGTTGGTCCGCGAGCCACCGGTTGACCCGGCAATAGCCATCGAATTCCTGCCGGTCGAAATGCGCGAGATCGCAACGGTAGTGGAACGTCGGCCACAGCATCGCGTTCGAAAAGCCGCGATAGTACTGCTCATAGTCCCTGCGAGACAACGCGAGCGTCGCAAACGTCACCGGACCGCGCTCCTCGAGCTTGATTGGCGCGATCGGGCCGGATTGCGTATCGCCGCTCCAGCCAAACCATATGCCGCCGGTCTCTTTCAGCGCGTCATAGACACCAATCGCCAGTCCGCCCGCGGCCGGCCCGCCCTCGGAAATCGGCGCAACGCGGTTGGAAACGATGATCAGCCGGCTCATGCGGCACCGCGCGGATAGCGCACCGGGCGGCTCATGCGCGAGGCTGGCACGCGCCAACCAGCGTTGCAAGCCAGTGGCGGAGCCCATCGACCGAAGGCAACCTTGCGCCGGCACGCGTATCGCCGTCACCGATCTTGATCGACAAGCCGCCACGCGCATTGACCAGATCGAAACCTTTCTCATCTGTCAAGTCATCGCCGGCAAAAACCGGCATGCGACCCGCGAACGGCGGCTCATTCAGAAAGGCCTCGACCGCGCGGCCCTTGTCGACATTCTTCGGCCTGATTTCGTACACCATCTTGCCGGGCTGCAGCACATACGCATCACTATATTCCGCACACAGCCGCTCGGTCGCGCGGCGCGCGAGAGGCTCGCGCGCCGGCACATTCCGATAGTGCAGCGCGAGCGCCGCGCCCTTGATTTCGAGCAGCATGCCGGGATTTTCGTCAACCACGCGTTCGAGCTCACGCTCGATCCGCCCAAGTCGTGGATCGTTGAAACCCACGCGCAGCACATTGCCGTTCGCGTCGCGCCGCTCCGCGCCGTGCAGCCCCGCGATCGGCAGGTCCGCCAGTTCGTCCGACACGAGCAGCGCATCAATGCTATCGATGCCGCGGCCGGACACCACCGCGAGCGCGCCATGCGATGCGCGACGCACACCGCCCAGCAATTCGACAACCACCGGTTCGACGATCACGCGATCCGGTGCGGCCGCCAGCTCCACCAGCGTGCCATCGAAATCGAGGAAAAATGCCGCGTCGAGCGGGTTCACACGAGGCAGTGCGGCGATTGAATCGGATAAGCGTTGCATCAGACAGATAACCTGGATCGAGAAGAGCAGCACTGATGAGACGTCCACGCGCGCCGTGCGCGTTGCCACGTCACCCGGCCCTATTCTCGTGGCATCTTACCGCAACGGCAACACGCGGCATATTGCCTCACCGAAGTGCATGCGTCGCCCAGCGTATCGAAATGCGCTAAAGTTTCGAATTCCGTGCACGCGTCGATACATTCGGCGCTCGTGCCCCTACTTCCGCGTTCCGTTTGACAATGTCCGCCAAGTCCCTTCGACCGCGCGCGCGAATCTCGCATGCGCGCGCACGCCGCCCTCTGCCGATACTGCGCCATGCCGTACTCGCGCTGAGCATTGGCCTATCGGTCGCGCTGGCGGCATGCACGCGTGACGACGGCCAGTGGAAACTGGCCAACGTCGCCGGGCACTTGCCGGACCTCGGTTTCTCGCTGCAGGCGGACAGCGGCAACACCGTTTCCGGCGCGTCGTTTGCCGGGCAGACCACGCTGGTCTTCTTCGGCTACACCCATTGCCCGGACGTGTGCCCCGAAACGATGGCGCGGCTGATGCAGGTGCTCGCGAAACTGGGCGACGCTGCGCGCGATGTGCGCATCCTGTTCATTTCGGTCGATCCGCACCGGGACACGCCACAAACACTGCACGCGTACGTGCAGGCGTTCGATCCGCAGCACGTGGTCGGACTGAGCGGCTCCGAAAAGCAGATCGCCGATCTCGCGCGGCGCTATCGCGTCGCGTACCAGGCGGAAAAGCCGGATGGCAACGGTAGCTACGAGGTCACGCACAGTTCCGCAATTTATATATTCGACCGCACAGGCCGCGCACGCCTGCTCGCCACCGCGACCGACTCGGCCGACACGATCGCCGGTGACTTGAAGCGCCTGATCGAGCCAACGTCCTGATGTCGTGCGCCGTGTAATAGATGGACCTGGACCTACCGCCGGTCGACCTCGCTCTGCACGCGCTTGACCCGCTCTAGCACCGTGTGACCAGCGCGACCACACCACGCCGCTGTGCCCGCAGCCGTTCGACCAGCTCGCCGATGGCCGCCCACTCGAGCCCCGAAAATCCCTTGACATCCAGCAGCAGGTACTGCAATGGCGTGATCTCTTCGCGTTGTGCGGCGCTCTCCGAGAAACGCTGGAGCCTACGCACTCAATAGCGAGACTCGGACAACGTTTCGAAATCCTACTTATCCAGATGGTGTGAGCTCATGATTCGGAAATGCAGCGACGTTTTCGCACGTAAGCGCATGAAGTTTGGCATAACGAGTAGCTTGTGCTGGCTATGCAATATCCGTGGGGTTGTTCGCCATTCCGATGCTCCATGAGGTGCCGGCAATACGACCTGGATCAGCATCCTTTTCGCGACCGTTGGCGTCTATCTCGCCTCAGGCAGCCAAATCGGACAGCTTCGCGTTGCCGTGCGTCCGCATAGGATAACTAAATCACACGCACGACCGTTCTGACGATGACCTACAAGATAAAGCTTCTGCCTGACACAGAACTCGAAACCATCATTCCGTTGCTTCAAATACTCAATCCCGGTCTCAGCGATTCGTTGCTTCGAGAGCGTCTCGGCGAAATGAGTCACCAAGGCTACAAGTGCGTTGGTGTGTACGACGAGGGGCGACTCGTCGGGTGCTCCGGTCTTTGGATAACGACACGCTACTACGTCGCACGCTTTATAGAGCTTGAGAACGTGGTGCTACATCCAGCGTACCGTCACCGCGGGCTGGGCGAGCAGCTTCTCGATTGGATTTGGGACTATGCAAGACAACAGGGCTGCGTCGCATCCGAACTGAACTGCTATGTAGCAAACGGTCCAGGCCAGAAATTCTGGATGAACCGCGGGTACAAAATACTCGGGTTTAGGTTCCAGAAAGACATTGCAGGATAACAAGCTGGCCAGCGTCGATTGACTGCTTGGGTTCAGTTTCAGGCGTGGCTACGGCTGTTTTCCGAGTGGTTAGGGGCGATGTTGCCCCCTTTCAGGCGACTGTCATTACGAGAATGAAGGATAGGGAAAATAAGATCCCTGAAGAATCAGAGCTTTTCTGGAGGCGCGAGCCGGAGTCGAACCGGCCTACACGGCTTTGCAGGCCGCTGCATAACCGCTTTGCTATCGCGCCGTTGCATCTGGAGCGGGAGACGAGTCTCGAACTCGCGACC